AAATTAAATTAAATGAATGAAATCATAATTATATTTTTAATTTGATATTAGAGTTTTGGATTTATTTTTATGAATTTTTACAGTTTTCAATTGGATATGTGATAAAAAAACAAATTTATATTTGAAATACTTTATTAATGAGATCTAATCAGTTATGACATCTAATCACAATTAATGAGATGCTCATCACACTCACTCAGAACAACATTATCCAATGTTCTTTATATTTGAAATACTTTATTAAAAATATTTAATAATGAAAGTGATGATTTACAACTCTTTATTTTGAATAACAGGACATTAGAATTTAGGGAATCCTAATAATAAAGCCTTAATTTGGTTGATATTTGTAGAGAATTAGACCATTGCAACAAACGTAGTCCTTAACTATTACAATTTAGATCGTGATACTTTCTTTTGTCTTTTTTAAAATATAATAAAAAAAACTTAGTAAACAATATAATAATCTCAAAACACGAAAAAAAAAATAAAGATATTTAATTATGAGATATGCTATTAGAAAAAAGAAAAAAAAAAACTATGCTAAAGTATAACTTATTTCAACTATAATCATTTAATAAAATTTAAAGTCATAGCTTTATTTCAAAATTTACATTTCAATTTGAAAGTTTTTTTTTACATGTTATTGTAGCTATGACTTTTTACATTGATCTAAAATTGCTTAAAATTTAATTCATACATTAAAATTAATTTAGTATAGTTTTTAAAAAAAATATTTAATCATTTGATTGTTTTGTTATTGATCTATTGAGAAACTTTGAGAAAGATGATAAAGATATCAATTTGTAGAGAAGAGTGAAGCGTTGAATGAAGAGGGCATGCAGAGTGAATTTGGAGTATCCTCTGCCCTGCATGTCCTTCTTAACCCGACGCCTTTTCACCAGTGTGGCCCCCACATGTTCTTCCCCTTCCAACCAGATCAAAGCATTCCTTTCAAAGGGTCTGCATCATCACATACTTCAACTTTTCACTCAACTCCATCTCTCTGCTCACTCTTCCATTCCCTTTGTTCTTCCTTCAGTCATCAAGGCAAGTTCCTCTGCTCAATGTCATGCTTTTAGTACACAGCTTCATTGCTTGGCTCTCAAGACAGGCTCTCACTCTGAAGTAGTTGTGTCCAATTCTATCATCACCATGTATGCCAAGTTTTCAGATGTTGAATCAGCACGCCAAGTGTTTGACACAAGCTCTCACAGAGACCCCATCACATGGAACTCCTTGATTAATTGTTATCTGCAAAATGGGTGTTTCGAAGAAGCTTTGGAATTGTTGAAAGATGTGTACTTTCATGGTCTTGTTCCTAAGCCTGAGTTGCTAGCTAGTGTGGTATCCATGTGTGGGAGGAAAATTGGTTCAAGGAGGATAGGGAGACAGATTCATGCTCTTGTTGTTGTAGATGAGAGGATAGGACAGTCAGTGTTTCTGTCAACAGCTTTTGTGGATTTTTATTTTCGGTGTGATGATTATATGATGGCTTTGCGTTTGTTTGATGGAATGGAGGTGAAAAATGAGGTTTCATGGACTGCCATGATATCTGGATGCATTGCTAACCAAGATTATGAACAGGCTTTTGCATGCTTTCAAGCAATGCAGGCTGAGGGAGTTTGCCCAAACAGAGTGACATCAATTTCTCTGTTACCAGCTTGTGCCGAGCCAGGCTTTTTTAAGCATGGGAGGGAGATTCACGGTTATGCATTTCGTCGTGGGTTTGAATCGTGTCCAACTTTCTCATCAGCACTTATAAATATGTATTGTAATTGTGGAGAATCACTGCATCTTGCCGAGTTAATTTTTGAAGGGTCTGGTTGTAGAGATGTGGTGTTATGGAGTTCGATCATTGGGAGTTATTCTCGAAGAGGAGATAGCTACAAAGCATTGGAGCTTTTTAATAAGATGAGAAGTGAGGAAACTGAACCAAACTATGTAACCTTGTTGGAAGTGATCTCTGCCTGCACAAATATTTCTTCACTAAAGTATGGTTGTGGAGTACATGGCCACGTCTTTAAATGTGGATTTAGTTTTAACATCTCTGTGGGGAATGCACTTATAAACATGTATGCCAAGTGTGGTTGTCTGGATGGTTCCCGTAATATATTCCTAGAAATGTGGAACAGAGATTCTATTACGTGGAGTAGTTTGATCAATGCCTATGGCATTCATGGATGTGGTAAACAAGCTTTACATTTTTTTTACGAAATGAAAGAGAGAGGTGTGAAACCTGATGCAATCACCTTGCTTGCAGTTTTATCTGCTTGCAATCATGCTGGCCTTGTAGCTGAGGGACAACAGATATTCAAACAAGTAAATGAAGATTGTAAAATTCCGTTAACCATTGAGCATTATGCATGTCTAGTTGATATTCTTGGAAGGTCAGGCAACCTTGAAGATGCTTTGGAAATACTGAGAACAATGCCCATGAAACCAAGTGCAAGAGTATGGAGCTCTCTAGTATCGGCTTGTAAGCTTCACGGCAGACTGGACATAGCAGAAATGCTAGCTCCACATCTTATAAGATCAGAACCAAATAACGCTGGTAATTACACATTGCTGAATATGATCTATGCCGAACATGGTCATTGGCTTGATACAGAACAAATGAGGAAAGCCATGAAACTACAAAGGTTGATTAAATGCTACGGGTTCAGCCACATTGAGGCTGGAGATGAGAGTATCTAGCATAGCAGAATGCACAGCTTTATACAAGAGTGGAAAAGAAAATTATGATTATGGATACCAATACATTGTGCACTGGTTAGTCTATTTCTTAGCAAATGTCATCTTTATTTTTTGTGCAAAATCATACGTGCTAACAAGTCTTTCAGGTGTACTTGTTGAATTTGGGCATACGATGTATTAAATTTAATATTTTTATGACAGATTCGCAATTTATTTAATACAAAAACAAAGGCTTCAGTAACAATCTCCATACACAGAAGAACTCTGGGCGAAGAATCTCTTCCTGAAGAAATCGAGATAAGTCCCTAAATATTAAAAACTTTACTAAATTTTGTTTTGTCATTAGAAAAGATATATTAAGGTTAATGTCTATGCTCACATAGTAACACGATAGTGTAGTCAATTCAACTAAAGTGAATGTTGATGTGAAAATTAATTTCATGGTACTTATGAAATTATTATATTTGATTGAACTAAAATTACAATTCAGAAATTTGTTAATATATCTTAAATTAATTTTTGCATGATAAGTATTTAAATTTTAAATGATGAACTTGATATAAAAGTTAATATGGATTATGAAGGAGGTAAAAAAAATGAAAAATAGATGGTAACGTCTTTGATAATAATTTATATAAAAATGTAAGATTTGATTAAAATTTCATATAGTTCTCTTGTGGATCACAATAAGACTATTGGGTTAAGTTTAAGAATTAAATAAATTAGAAATGAGTCGTTGTAACGTTATAATTCTTGAAAAACTAAAAAGAAAGAATCAACTTTCACTTTAACTGAATTAGGTAACTTCTTTGTTTACATTTAAGGACTTTTAATTAATCATTTCATTAGTTATTTAAGTTCCAAGGATTAACTTTTTTATTACATTTAATTAAAGGAGTCAGTTTCACGAATTTCATCATTTAAGCTTATATACGAGACCAGATTTGAAGTCCATAATCAAGAATTAATGCCCCCACCTTCTGTTTTCCTTACTGACAATAGCCTTTTTTTCCCCTCTATTTGACATATTTCTTTTAACTAATAGAAACGTGTTTTTTCAACTTAAAAGAAGGCTTTAAGAAAAATACATCAATAAAAAAGACGAGAGCTTGGTCCAAAAGTTGTTTTGAGGGAGCGATTACAATTACATTGTTACCTATTTGTATAGAAGAAATCTATGGTTTTTTAACCTTTCTACAGCATACTATAAATATAAAAAGAAATATCGAGTTACTTGATATACAACGTAACAACGGCATGTCTTCAAATGTTTTGTATCGTCAATATGATTGCATTTTATTAAATTATACAAAATCACAACACTAGACAATATATTAAAAAATTATATATATTTTTTATTATTATGATTTAAAATTCACATTTTCACTAACTTTTCAATTGAACTTATATTAGTTCTTTTTCTTTTTCATTTCGGAACTCACGTAAAGAATGCAGGACTGACCTTGAAACTTTTCAGAAATGTTCAAGTCTCTTGTTAACTAGGACGAAAGGTTTACGAAATATTTTTATTTTATCAATTCTAGTAAAATATGAAAGTTTGGGTTTGCTTCTTCTGGGTCTAATATCTTTCCCCAAAAAAACTATAACTCATTCTACAACAACTTTTATTTCTGTGTCTTACAATTAATGTTTAATATCTTCTTCAAATCTCAATACCTGAAGATTGAAATGCCTGTAAGACATGGTTAGCTAGGCATGCATCTTGGACCCTAAAGGAGTTTTGGAATTGAGATGAACTTCCTGCAGTAGTTTATAAAAAAAATTCCATGCAACTAAATCCAAAACACTCAGAAATTAACTTATGGTTATGAATAATCTCCTCTAAAGACGTAAGAACTAAAAAGTAGAACACTTTAGGCAGAGAGCAGTACAAGCCTGAGTAGAATATTTTTAGTGATAAAGTAGAGAAGAAAGGTCACTCTCAAAAGAGTCGTTCCTATATCCGCATGCGACATTACCTGACAAACACCACTTGACACTAGCACTGGCCCATATGATTCAACGAATCTACAGGACCCACTTGACTGGGTTGTTTTCTTCCTCATTCATGAGATATAGCTAACTCTAGCACTCATTTCAAAGAAACTAGCAACTCCTATGTTTTTCTATAGTGAGGTTTTTGACAAAAATATTTTCCAACAAACCAGATACAAAAGCAACAACCCAGAAGGTAAAGGAATGAATGCAACAAAACCAATTTAGAACCCGGTCACGGGACAGATACTTGTGCAATGTAAAATGTGCATCATGAAATTCACTCTCGCGCACAAAATGAATACAGCAAACCTGAGCCAACTTTGAACCTATATTCCTGTGTAGCTATTTCACCAACACTGTCAATGAAACAAGTGGATAAAACAAACAGCAAAGAAATATATAAAAGAAAATTTACATTTGAAAGGCAAAAAAGGCACTTTTGTTTTCATTGAACAACCATGTCCATGTGCATCATGTGAACTTACAAGTGCAGGGGTGTTTGTGAGGGAGAGTGATTTTGCGACGAGGCCGCATCAAAATCATTATATTCAACAGAGAAATTCAAGAACCCGCTACCACTGTCGGCATCCTCATCACGATCAATATCTTCGTTAACAACGGGAAGATCGAGATCGAGATCGACATCACTGGCTGCGTCTTGTTCATGCTCTTGTTCATGTTCCAGTTCTTGTTCCTGTTCATTTTCTTGTTCCCGTTCCCGTTCCCGGTCCTGTTCGTGTTCCCATTCCTGTTCCTGAAGCCGCTGCTGAATCTCGTGATCATTGAGGAAGTCTCTGAGCCTCTCCCTCAAAACCCCTAACTGCCGTTCGAGAAGATTCTTCTGTGACTCCACCTGCTCCACCGTCCACTGTAGCGACTCAATCACTTCAAGATCGTACTCCTGTTTCTGCTCCACCATCCTCCGAAACTGCGTCGCCTGAATCTCCACCGCACTCTTCTCGCTCTGCAGCCGCAGTATCATCGCCATCGCCTCCTCGGCCGCGGAGGCCGCTGCCCCTCTCTCCTTCTCAATCTCCGCACACGCCGCATTGAACCGTTGCCGCTCCGACTTCACCATCCTCCTCAACGACATCACGTCGAACACCTCGTCCTCCAAATTCTCCTCCCTGGAACCACTACCACTACTGCTATTGTTGTTATTATTATTACTATTATTATATTCTGTTTCCTCCTTGAGAGTATCGTCTCTGAGCGGTTTTCCGATCGGAGACCGGAGAAAGCGGAGACAGGAGAGGAAGATCAAAAGGAGACCGAGGATGTTGAAGATGCGCGAAACGTAACCTAGGAGGAGAAAACCGCAACCGAGTTCAGTGAGTTGGGTGAGGAAGTTGAAGGTTGAAGGGATATCCATGAACATGAGGAGAATGAAGCGGATAAAAAATCGGAGGAACCTGTGGTAAAATCCAAGAACAGGAGCCAACAAGAAACCCAGAGTCTGCATCTGCGTCTGGGTTGGGTTGGGTGAGCCTAACCGATTTTGACACCACACCCAATCTTAGCGTCAAAGGGACTATGCAATAAGACACACCCAATCCAATCGCAGCGAGAGCGAGAGCGAGAGCGAGAGCGAGAGGGTGGTGTGATTGGCTTACAAGAATGGGTGAAAGAGAGTCTTATAAGAGAATCGATTATGATGGCGTTGGTTTGGCGTTACAAGGATAGAAAGAGAAGTGTCATCACTCTTGTAAGCGCAGAGAGAGATTGAGTAATGTAGTTATGTATGTAGGAACAACAACATGAACAATAAAATCTCAGATTATGGATCTGACCGAGAACCGAACAAATAGATGTGTGACCATTTCAGACATCCATTTTTCCATATTTCTTAATTCACTTTTTTAATTTCATTTTCACCGTTTCTTTCGCTCTTATCTCTGTCTCTTTACAGTTACAAAACCATGTAATTAAGTAATAATATATTTTAATCACACAGATAAATAATTCGACCGTTGCTAATAATTAATAATTAATACTCCTAATATATACCAGTGATATGACATATTATTAGTTAGATTTGAGTATCGGATTTTTATTTAGATTTTTATGTAAAGATGGAATAAGTATGCATCAATGTTGTTAATAAATTAATTTACTTGGTAAGATATTAATTTATATTTTTTTTTATGGGAAAATAACTTTCCTTTGTTTTTTTTTATGAATTGATATATGTAAAACAAAATCAAATTGTTACTCACTAAGTGAATTCTTACTGTTTATCTTAGTTTTTTTTTCTGTAGACAAACAATTAACTACCAACGTTTGTAATTTTAAATATATTATTAATCAGTCAATATTAACACAAAATTGCAATTCTTTATTATTTAAAATGTTAAAACATTTTAGCTCACACATTTTAAAAATAAATTAATATAATCTAAAATTTTTTAACCGTTGAAACACGTTTGATGTTAGTCTTTAATATAATTAATAATTATTCATTCTTAATATGATAACATAACTTCCCTTTTTTATAAAATAAAATATGTAAAAAGAAAAAGTAGAAATATCTTTATATTATTCTACTCAACAAGTGGATAATTAATATTTATCTTCAAATTTTCTATAAGACATCAATACTTATGCACCACATCTGATAATATATTTTCTTTTAAAGAAATCTGATAGTAAATCAGCATGCTCTACAATTTGTAATTAATACTTTTTTTATGACAAGATAAATCTTCGTAGTTTTTTCTATTAATTAAAATACATAAAATCTTACTTGAAATATTTAATATGACAATGTATTTAATATGGTAAAAAATGTGGTACTTTAATAAAAATAAGAATAAGTTGTACTTTTCATTCTAATTTTCAAAATATACATCAACAATCCTTGTGTTCTTAACAAAACCATATTTATATTATCTTCTTTATGACCATATGTCTTTTTCTTATAAAGTGACACGCGTTTATATTATATTCTTTAAAAGTACATGATAACTAAAACTTACAAATTATGAAAACTAAAAATTAAAGTTTGAAAATATTAAAAAATAAAGAACTTTATATATATA